TAAGGCTTAGCAGTACAGATACATGTGGGCTCACTATTTGGCAAGCAACCAAATCTCAAAATATTTCAAAAACATTTTAAGAAGGAAAACGCTTGTACAAACATGGACATTCAAAATTCATAATTAAATAAATAAATAAAAATAGGCATCTGTGTGACACTCCTATGATGTGTTCATTTGTGCAATAGCTGCTGGGATAAAACAGCACACTGGACATGTAGCATTTAGGCTCATGTTTTAGACACATGGCGGTGCAAATGTTTACCTTCCACACAAATGAATTTGTTTCTCCATGTCGGAGAGTTGTTCTTGGGAAAAGCTTTGGCCTCTCGAACAGAGATCACCTTCCTATCCCAACTGCAAGACAATGCAAAAGCAGGGGAATTATTTAATTGTTATTAGGATTAAAATGACACAATGAAAAAGGTCCTCAATGACATCAAGTTGAGCTAATCAACTACAACTTACGCAAACTTTCCTGCCAACTAACAAGGGGATAGATCTGTACCTCAGGCTCAGTTGGTTTTACTTTCATTCAATGATGTCAATGCAACAAACAAATGAAACTCGCCTAGCAAAGATCATTTGAACATAAAACATTCCTATTTCTATCAAAGATAGAAGATTCTCCTGTGGGTTCGGCAAAGTAAATCTTTAAAAAGAATACAATTAATCCTGAGTCGAAATATAGTGTGTCTTGTCCTCATTATCTGTCATTTGACTAAAGTTTTAAATGTCGAAGCTTCACTTAATGCATCAGATGAAAGGTACAAACACAGTTCGTTTTTCAGCAAACATCAAGTGAAGAGATTTCCGTTACTGCAAATTAAACTTGATGATTAATAGGTACAGAATGTGGAGTTGGTTTGGAATGAATGGCTGTTAAAGAAAGTAGGAAAATGTGTTGATCACTGTAAAAACTTGCAGAAAGCACATACAATTTGTAAATCAAACCTGTTTGTTTGTTTGTGAAATAAAAAAATCAGTGGGTTTTTGTGAGTTTTAGTTCAGCCTTGTGACTGGAGCGTGAGCAAGTTAACCAGAACTTCCCAAAAAGTTTGCCTAATTTTAAGGTTTTCGTATTTGTTTAACCTAACATTTTATATTATATATTATTTTGTGTCACTTCCACTGAATTCCCATCTTAAATACTCCTGGGATAGTGCAACCCTATGCGTGCTACGGTAACACATATATCGCAAACACAGGGATCATGGTATGTCATGTTAGTGCTGTTTAAGGCCAGAGGTCCCACCTGCTCCTGCCCCTCACCCAGAAACATGAAACCAGGGAAGAGGATGCAGGATAGAGGAGGGGAGAGAAGAGATGGGGGACTGGAGAGGTGGGAGAAGTTAGCAAGAAGACAGGAGATAAGGAAAGGGAGCAAGATGGTATGGGTGAATGTGAAACACTAGACTCAGAAATGTGGTGTCTACCTGAAGACCGTGGCATAGTATCCCAGAAAGCCCAGAAGAAGCTCTCCCAGAGAGGACTGGTTGCTCGATTTGTAGGGAGGGACGCGTTTGGGCCCCTCTGGGACCATGTCAATGTCCATGAGGGGGAGAAAAGAGTCCTGAGAAAAAGGCACGAGACAAAAAACAAAGACTTAAAACCAAGCATATAATATGATTTATTTGTGATGAGTACAGAAATGTCAATATGATGCAGAAATGTCTTCTTTTTAAAAGTGATACGAATTGTAAGGCTTTTGCGCAAGGTGTTGAACGTCTTGTATTTTCTATAATTTGCCTATATAACATACTAGTTTGCACTTCAGGTAATGAACCTGGAATACACAGGTTACAATAAGTTACAATGAATTGCAAAAACAATGGAGACACTTACGGGGTAGTCCATCTGTAGAGAGGGAAGGACAGGTTCCTTGAGAGCTGTAGAAAAAGCAACAAGATAAGTTTCACATTAAGTAATACATGGAAACAGAAAGGTCTTTGTCTGTGTGTGAGTGTACTGACTCTGGAGGTAGTGCAGCACCAACAGCACGAGTGTGTAGCTGCTCAACGTTCCTTTGCTGGCATCATTGATATGATTGTGTTGGGCCCATTTCTTGACAACGAGGATCAGGGGTCTTATCCTGAGATCAGCTGAGAGACATCACACACAGACAGCGGGTCAAAATAAGAAGCATTAAAAGCGCTGCTTGGGAAGGACAGTTGGAGCAGACTTAGAATTCGGCAGGAATTTTAAAAGATCTCACCCACCAAAGGCATAACTCCTCAGAAGGAATGTGTTTCTGATGCCCACTGTGTTGTTGAAATTCAGATCAAACTCCAGATCACTAAAGAGGGAAGGGGTATTAAAGGAGTCATTTTAACAATGCTTTCTGGCTTTGCTAAGGTAAACGAATAATTATATAAAAGAAAAAATAGGTTTAATATCCGTTTTGTTCCTACCTGCCTCTCTCTCTGAACCTGAGGATCGGCACTTTGGCTCTGATCAGCTGAGTCCTCTCTACATATGCTATCAATCAAAATAAACATGACAGTTATGGTTGTTTTGGTTTCATTTCATGTTCACTTGAAACTCTCTCTCCAAAGGATGAATAGCTCCACCTGGTGGACTATGTGGAAAACACAAGTATGTCAACATAATCACAATATGTTCTACATTTTGTATATATATCATTATGACTCACGTAGTGACTTGAACAACCTTTGGACGACACTGAGTACGCTAATAGGATCGTGTTTTTTCTATAAAAAAAAAAAAGGAAAAACATGTAGGTGTTTAAAAGGAAGTGGGTATCTCTGATTGTACAAACACATTCTGGATGACAAACATAGTATAGAGTCAGGGCAACTCACATTTCCTTTGATGATCAGACACATATCAGCATCACTGCTCCTGCAGCCCAATCCATTCATAGAGGATCCAGTCAGGTAAAGCCGTGCCACTGTGAGAAACACACTGAGTGAAAAGGGACCACGACAGGGAGTCTGGGCATGATTGTGGATTTCATACACACCTGGATATTGACCCTGTATGTCGTCCTGCAGCCGAGTTCGGCACAACTCCTTCCGGTCCAAATCCGAAGCTTGCTGCTGGCACGCCTCGAACATCTCCACCATCTGACAGCTCAACTGAGGACACAAACACATGCACACAAACTAAGAACTAAGCATTGCTCAGATGTGATGTAAACTGCAGGTTAATGCCATTTGAATGTACAATACCTTGTCCCTGGCATAGGCCTGCAGGCTGTTGAAGTTCTCAGGGACATCTATCCCCTGAGGATGGATGAGGGCAGGTGGACTCGGAAAGGAATGATTATGACCAACGAAGGGAGGTCTCGATGACCCTGCCACCGCCCGGTCAGGACGACGGGGGGGAGGGGTTTGAAGTAGAGGAGAGGCTAAGGATGGGTGGGGATGGGACTCAATGCGTTGGCGCTTTACAACATTGGGGCTGTATTCGCTATTCTGCCTCCTGGAAGAAACACAAAAGGAAGGTTTAAGAAATAATAAAAGGAAACACGGATTGTCCAACCATGATTAAATGGTAAAATGACATACTTGCGACTGTTGGTCATGTTTGGTGCGTAGGGATGATGGACTGGACGAGGGGCTGGAAGAAGTGGCCTCTCTTTCCATTCATATGGTGGAAACCTCTGTGGTCCAGGACCATGGAAGCTACCAGAAAGACATGTTCACAAATACATAAGCAAACAAGTAACCCAAACTCAGAGGTGGGAGAAGTACTCAGATCTTGTACTTGTGTAAAAGTAAAAGTACCAGAGTGTAGGAATACTCTGTTTCAAGGTAAAAGTCCTGCATCAAAACAATACGCAAAAGTACAAAAGTATTAGCATCAAAATATACTTAAAAGTACCAAAAGTAAAAGTACTCATTATGCAGATTGGCACGTTTCAGAACAATATATATGATGTGTTGATTATAATTATTGACGCATTAAAGTGTTATCAAAGTTGGTAAAGGTGCAGCTAGTTTTAATGACTTTGTATGCTGCAGAGTAGATTGTTAATTTACTCAAGGTGTAACTAAAGTCTTATTTAAGAGTTGATTAAATTTCACATTATTAATCAAAATCTGTAAACTAACTAAATGTACGAAATACAGCTCTGAAAATAATTAAGAGACCACACGCATTTGTCTTAAATCTCAATCTCTACATGTATGACAGCCATAACATGTCAAGTGTCCGTTGAATTCCAACACAGAGAAATGTAGTCAGTTCAAAAAACATGAACTTTACTCAAACACATACCTATAGTCACTGAAATGTGTACAGTACTTTAGTAAATGTACTTGGACATTCACGACTATTTCAGTGATGTTGTTGATGTTGTTGATGTCTAATAGATCAGAGCAGTGAGTATTTAGTCAGGCTTACTTGTTGACAGCAGCCCGGCTCCCTTGGTTGTAATTGTAGGTTTGGGGGCCCGGGGGAGGGTACGGGCCGTGACGGAAGGCTGACAGGTCCCTCGGTAAGGCGCTGCGGGGGAACATGCTGCTGGATCTTCACTGAGCTCCAGCATCAACTCCAAAGACCTCCTGAAAGAAAGAAAACAACTGAGCCACAACACAGCTGGTAGTTTCCGCAATTAATGGAGAACTGTGGTTACCACTGATATGGAACACATAACCGAAACGTAATGTCAAAACAACTATTCTGAGGAAACCGAAACCTGTGATCAGTCAAAATGGTGAGCTAACTGACGCTAGCACCGCCCAGCTAGCTAATTCAAAAACGGTAACAACTATTATCTCTTAATTAAATCGGAGTATGTGTAGGTTGGTGTGAAGACTATGTTTATAGAGACGTGTAACAAAATGTTAAGCACATTTTACTCCAAAAACTAACTCTGTAACACTTACCAAATGCATGTCACATGTAAACAAAACTGAATATCTTTCCTACACACTTCCGCATTGATGCCATGACGTAATGGATTTCGATTTAAAGGGCCAGTGGCCATAAAAGTTACATTTAAAGGTAAGGCTTATTTGATGTTGAGTTAAAGACAGTGTAAACAAATAAGCTTACTTACTACTTGAGTGTTTCCATTGTATGCTACTTTATACTTTTACTCCACTATATTTTAAAAGCAAATATTGAACTTTTTATTCCACTACCTATATCTGACATCTTTAAGAAATAGTTACTTTTCACATTAAGATTATGAGCTAAAACAAATATGTAATACATCTCAGTGTTTTAGTAAATAAACACTGACATGTATGGGTTAAGAAGTTATTAAAATGTGCTCCCCTTTACAAGCTGTGAAAGACACATGAATTTCTCAATAATAATAATTCAGTAATGCAATATAGTTGATTAGGAAATGGGCCATAACCCTTAATAAGTACTTTTACTTTTAAGTTCGGTTTGATGCCAAGATTCTTTGTTCTTTGAATGCAGGATTTTTAATGCAGGATTTTTACTTATAACAAAGAATGTTTACTTGTAACAGAGTTTTATTTTTTTTTAATTTGTATTGTTACTTTTACTCCAAAAAATAAACTACCACGACTGGCTGTGGTCAGGTTGGGCATGATCTATTTTCTGTGCTGCAGCTTAAGGGTGGTTCCAGCCTTTTCCCTCAAGGGACCCCTTCACAATCAATGACTAAACTGATGATACCTGACTAACGTTAAGTAACATATTTTATCAATAACTGCGGAAGGTTTGTGTAAAATTAGCAATATGGATCCATTTTCAGCAGATAGTTTCCTCTCAACAGGGAACTTTTCATTACAATTCTCTGTCTGCATTAGATCTTCTCCCTAATGACTGGCCATTATAATAATTGCTTTTTTCTTGTTCAAATTGCATACATTTTTTACACAGGTAGAGGCTGTTTACAAAAAAGGCTCTGTGTGTTCAGAGTCACACCTGAATACAATATGTCTTTATCCTGTAAGATTACAAAAATAGGTAATGATGCAACGTATGGTTTCTATTTTAGGGTGTGTTTTTGCTTTTCATGGTGTAGATGTTTCATCAATGATGAGATAAGAGTGATGAGAAGACGACTGACATTAATGTTACGAGCACTTAATCTGCACATTTAAGAAATTATTGGCGTTGTTTGCTCTTCTCTTACTTTGTCTAGCAGCATCCCATACATTTGTAATGGAAGAAATCTAGTTTACCTGACAGTGTATATATTATAATATGAAAAATAAATCACATCAGATCCCAACAATGTTTACAGTTCATAGTATATAGTGCATGCATAATTCAGTCATTTTAAAGCAATATCCAGATTAGCAATTTGATTTATCTTTTGTTTAGAGGATGCCAACAACAATTGATTTATTGATAAACAATCCCAAGCCTTAAAATGGACTGGGTTATTTAATATATTAAGACGGAGCCTTTCAGCAAATTAGATATTTTAATTCAATACTTTATGTGCTTTTATTTAGCTAATAATACTTCTGTATTTAAGTAGCAATTTGGAAGAAGGACTTTTTTGTTTTTTTAATAACTTTTATCAGAATGAGAATTCCTTTATTTGTCCTGCAACAGGGGAATGCAGCAAGAGTGCAGATTCATTAAAAAGAGTATATAAAAAAGGAGTCACATATTATTAATAATAAAAAACACAATAAGTAAAAAAAAGAATAACACGTACATGGTGCTCCATATAAAAATAAAATAAAAATAAGTATAGTTTAAAAAAATGACCATATAAAAAATATATAAGTAGCTGGTACTGTTTTACATTGCACAGCATTTTATTTGATAGATTATATATTGTTCTGCTTTTAGTAAAATACCTGAATCTTCCACACTGCATGTACAGCCAGGGTGTAACATTTTTCTTAGAGTATTTTGTGAGTAGGCAACTTCATACTTCCTACTAAACTTCTTATAAAACAATAACGCGTCAAATGGCATCAGTCCCTCGAGCATTGAGTGACGTCACTGCGGAGGACAGTGTCGTGACGTAGGCAGTTCAATACTGACAGTGATCTGAGTGGGAGGGAAGCGGGGACTCATCAGCCAGATGTGGAGCGGTTTTGGGGGCGGGGTACACATCGGGGTGTGCGGATAGGCTTAGATCAATAAATCACTCTTACAGCCAAACGGAAGGATAGTTATATGCAAACGACTCTCCACATATCAGAATTGACCAGGAGCGCTGTGAATCAGTTAAAATTAAAGTCGATGTTGCATAAGCAGAATATATACTGCAGATTTAGTCATAGAGAAAAATCGGAAATTGGCTTTATTCTAGAAATGCACTGGTAAGGGTGGGAAATAGTCTGGATGAGAGAGTGGGGGTGTGAGCCTATGGTAATTAGAGAGAGAAAGAGAGATAGAGGGAGGCGGGTGGACGGTGGGATGCTGTGCGTTATCTTGTGGCTAAATGAGGGTTGTCTTTCCCAGTTCAGGCAGCAAGGCTTCTCCACCCTTCCAGCGAGGATCTGTAATTTACGCGACAATTATCTCGGATCTCCATAAAGGACTCTGCGCTGGATCAGCTGCTCCATCACCAAGCCCTCAGCGCCAAAGCAGGAGTAGAAGGTCTGACTTCCGTGCCATGTGCAGAGCGACATGTATGTGTGATTTCATGCCGTGACAGCGCAGGGGAATGGACCAGTTGTCATCAAATTCCTGCAGACGCACCAACGGTGATACATTGAAGCCTGTCGTGTAGAGAGAAGACACTGATACGCAGCGGCCAATCCGAGATATATACGTTTTTATTGCCAGAGAGAACACATAGATCGCTGCAATGTCGACCATAACAATGGGGTAAGTGTGATTATTATCCAGTGGGTTGACTGAGACCCCCTTTCGCTCCTTTCTGCATTCATATCAGCTACGGCTGCTTCACAGAGTATGAACTTCTCCTCTATTAGAAACCACACCACATAACACAATAATGACCCGGGCGTGTGCTTTAAAATGTATCTCTGTCTTACATGACGTATTATAGCCTAAATAGCTCAGGTAGGCTGTGCATGTGTGGTTGAGTAGGTTATATTTGCAGGGCCTTGATGTGCTGCACAATAAAACAATGTATTTTCAGTCATTTAATGAAGGACATTTATTTTCTCTCTCCTTTGAATATGCTCTGTTTAGTGAAACAGAAATATGCGTTGGGCTCAACATGCTGTCACTCACATACTGGTGCATAAGTGGCTCCATCATCAAACTTTTAGGATCAAGATATAGTGGGTAAATCTGCAATGATTCCCAAAGTAGAAGTGATTGGGTGTTCTCACAGACATGAAGCAAGGCTTTAATTCACTCTTATTGCACAAGAACAATGAGAGTGAATACAGGGTTTTTTTATAGGTCTCTGTTCTGCTGTTAACTCCCCACCTACATTACAGACAGTTATGTAATACTGAAAGAAGGCATGTATAACAACAGCATTTCTTCTCCAATATTCTCAGAGATCTGTGGTGTGATGTACATCCTTTTCCGGGTCTTGCTAAAAAAAAAAGGTCTGGGAACATTATAATATCAAAAGCAGGGGAATGTCAGTGTGCTTCACAAGGCTCCAGTGACAGAAAGTGGCTTCCTGTCTCTATGGCAGCACAGTGACCGCCACCTTACACATCCTCAACACCAGGCACCCATCGGTGAAATATCCGCCTAGTGCGCAGCGCCGCTCATTTGCATGTCCCCTAACCCTGAGCTCAGCGGTTCATTTCCCCACACGAAGCCTGTTGTTCATTAACAGCTGTCTCCTGCAGTTCATTGTGATTAATTGCACGGCAGGAGGTTAACAATATGGCACAAGCATGGTGCGATTTCAACGCATCAGCCAAAACTTCTGCATTAACTATTTACAATACACTGGAGGCTTCCCTGGCTCCCACTCTGTCCTCCTACAGTGTGGGCAGCACATCATTCAGCAGTCTCCCACTCAGCTGCAGCTCTCCACTGGGCTCTGCCATACTGGTGACTAAGTTACTGTTATGCAACTGACCCAATGACTCAATTGATCAGCAGTGGAATACATTGTAATTCAGAGCACTATGCTGCATGCAGTGTGTGTTAAAGTCTGAATACCACAGATGAGATGTAATCGTTCATAGTTACAGATATGTTGTCTGGCTGCCAATCTGGTGCTAATGGCACACACAGATAGAGTCATATTTCACTTCCGGCCTCATGGCTGAACACCAAGCCACTTACAGCTCTAATGGTAATGGCACAGAGAAGAACATTAGAGTTGGACGAGAACTGGAGATGCTTATCAACACTCTCTGATGCGCTCTCACTTCCTTGGGCAAATACAATTAATGCACTGAAGGACTGAGTTTCTCTTGCCTGTTTTTGTTTGGGTGTGATGTGTGCGTGTGTGTATGAAAGAGAGAGAGTGTGTGTTCATAGGCACAACTCAGTTCATCGAAGCCGCTCCCAGTAGATATAGCAACAGGGAGCTCTCTCATTAATGATCTCTCTCTACCTTAAATAAGATCTACTTGCCTCCAAGCGCTACTCTGTTGAATTAATGAAGAAATCTGGAAATAAGGACAATTTCTTCAGAGACGGGGATGAACATAGAGCTGGCAAGGGAAAGCGAAATCTCCTGGGATGTGTGTGTGTGTGTGTGTGTGTGTGTGTGTGTGTGTGTGTGTGTGTGTGTGTGTGTGTGTGTGTGTGTGTGTGTGTGTGTGTGTAAGCTGTTTAGTAACATACTCATACTCAAAAAATGAGTGTGTGCACATCTGCATCAACCCTGTGAAGCTCAAAAGGCGCTATAAGCAACACCTGTTGGGACTCTTTGTGTGTGTGTGTGTGTGTGTGTGTGTGTGTGTGTGTGTGTGTGTGTGTGTGTGTGTGTGTGTGTGTGTGTGTGTGTGTGTGTGTGTGTGTG